CCCCCACCCCCCCCGCAGCTGCATGTAACCTCCTTCAAGATCTCGCCCATTTTCTCAGAAACCCGCTTCAGGAACCTGCAGTCCAAGAGGAAAAAGAAAAGAACAAAGTTACTGAAGGCCTTTAGAAGACAGAGAAGCGTGCTCAGTTCAAACAGGCCATTCTCAGTGGCTAGGCATTAGCCTTGTACGTAATTCCACAAACTCTCATTAGAAATATGACCCACAGCTTTTTTTTTTTCCTAGTAATCAAGTAGAGCAATGCAGTTTCCAATCCTCAGTGATTTAACAGTGAGGGGAATTACTGTACATTTAAGACCTTGATTTCAAACTAAACATGATGCAATTCAAAGACAGCTTGCAGACACAGATTAAGAATATAAAATCGTTCCCTTTTCAGGATCAGAGAGAGGTTTCAGTAGGACATCAAGCATTACAGGGGGTCTCTTTTTTGTTTGTTCAAGGTATCTAGAGTTCAAACAATAAAGCTGTGTCCAATACACAACATTCTACATTACAAGTACTGAAAAGGAAGGAGAGAGGCAGGTCAGTGGACTTTCTGTCCTTGATCAGAATGTTTCTTCCTGAGTATTTCTGTTGAGCTTTCAGAATCAGAAAACATTTTCCTGTTTAAGAAGTGAAAGCTGCCAAGTATTTGCTAAGGAAGGAAATTAATAATTTTCAGTAACTAAGTTCAGTTAGTTATTAGAGGAAAAAAGCCCTCTTTTAAGCATATAGTTTAAGTCATAAAAGTGGGAACAGTAAATCTTAGAGATCTTTAAAATGAAGTAATTTCATCTCTGTAAAAACAAGCAGGAATCCTGGTCTCTTTCAGTTTAATAGCTGAATTGGATTTAGTGCTTTGTAAAAGCAGGAGCACCACATCAGCTAAACAAAGCAGGAGACGGTGGGCAAAATTACAGACCAGTGTAAAATGCATAATTTAATATGGTCATCTCTGAAAAAAAGCTATAGCAAACTCACATTGCAAACAACAGGCCATTGCTGGCTTCTGAATTTCTGAGGCTTTCCATAAACCTGTGTAACTTACTATTTTTCCACTATTTTCCCTGGAACGTACAACTGAAAGCTGCCAGTTTACTGTTAGATATAGGTTACTGCACCTTTGCTGTTTTTCTCTAGCGTTACATCTATATACGATGTTGGCACATAGCCTTCCTCTCCGTTATGTCTTCGAGCTCTTGTCCACCCATCTCCTTTGTCCTCCTCAATAATGTATAAAATTTCCCCTTCTTTCATTGCTAGAGTGCCTTCATTATGACCTGGGAAAAACAAAAGGCAAAGAAGTCTCAATGTTCAAACAGAATTTCAAGTCATCTTTTTCCCAAGGCATAGTTTCCAGATATTATATGTAAACAGGAAGAACAAAAAATCTGTGCAAGAGAACATATGGTCAAACAGGCTTACAGACAAAAACCTAGCCCAATTTGTAAAGCTGAATATTTGCCAATAGCTGTGCTAATATTTATCTTAAAACAGCACAACTGTGTTCTGACAACAAATTCATGAGTACTGCTCATGAATTGATGTATAAAATATTTCCACTGATCTTATAAGCAACTAGTTGCTCATACAGTTCATTTACTTTTAAATCATTTTACCTGTCTTCTCTAAAACAAATAATCCATGACCGTCAATCCCCGTGCCTGTTGTTAACCTTACCATCAAACGGATATATTGCCTTGCAGTGTCCTATAGCCGGTAGTGGATCATCGTCTTCAAACTCATCATCAAACTCACTGGGATGTGCATGCTGCTGTGGTGGGCCTCGAACCTCCTGATTGGCATCATCTGTGTAACTTCCCTCAGGGCTACAATGCAACAATGGGAGCATGAGGACTCTGAGGAGTTCTTAGCAATAAAGCTCAGAACATACGTGCATCACAGAAAGGGCAGGCTGGGGGCAGTGCTCTGGGAATGCCCATTAGCAGTTTTTGTATTTACTGCTGGAGGTGATTTTCTGAAAATACTGATCAAACAAAGGTTTGGACTGATTTCTGCGGCAAAAACAAACATAAATTTGACATACCTGTCTCACAATGGAGTAAGATAGCTTTAAAAGACACTGCTATTTAATGAGCAGGTGTTTTGATTAGACAGGTTTTTATATTATCATGACATGAAGTGACCTTCAGAATTCAGAACCAGGAAGATTTTCCTTTTGAAGGACATAACCTTTTGGAGGATAAGTAACAACCATCACCTGTTAACTATCAGAAATGCACCAATTCTAGCATAAGGTATAAAAGCAGTAGAGATAGAATAGTGACCTCTCTCTGCCCTGGGTCACAAGGTGGTTGATATCACTGCTGTGCCGCCTGTCACTTCTGGCCGCTACTTTACCTTCAACTTCAGAGAGCCAGGCCTTGGGGAGAAAAGAGACAAATACTGTGTCAAAGAAAATTTGATTCTAAACCAGCAAATACCATTTAACAAATGCACTTATCTGTACACAGCCACACAGACTTGTATTCACATGTGAAGTCTCAGAATAACTTCACATGAAACTTAAGCCTATCCCTCATGCTTAGCCTATACTCCATACTAGTCTTACAGAAAAAAATCATTTTTAATCAGTTGTGAATTTCCAAGTAAGTTATTAATAAGGAATTCTTCCAAACAGTTTACATCTTTAATACTGTACATCCTTATTCTCGCTCCATGAACATACTTGAAAATATTGCATCCCACCAAAAAATTGTATGGGGAATGCTTTCTTAAGTAATTCTTCTGGGTGCTGTAGTTATAACCCATATGACAAACTACAATTTTACCACTCATTTACATTTTCCAAGGAATTGTTTTAGAGTTTAACCTCATTCTTGTGTATTTCCATCCGAAGACGGTCCATGTTGCTCATAGTCTCAGTTAGTTTTGGTTGCAAACTGCCTGGATCACCCATCTGGGGATTTTTCTCATAAACATCCTTCATCTTGATGAGAGCATCTCTACAAACATACAAAATCCAATAACAATTATAGAAATTACATACATCAGTACTGATTCATTAAATCTAAAACAACACTTATGTGTATGAGATCTTGACCCCTGATTAGACACTACGCACAGACATGAGGAACTACTGCTCCCCACACCATGCCTAAATCCTTGTTCCATTCTGTCATCTCATCCTCTGCCTTCCTTTCTTGTGTCATGCACAGCCACACAAGGACTCCAGCTGCCGACTGTTCCCTATCTAGTCTCAATACTGTTTCTGGTATCATTTGTTATACACAATTTTCTCCTTACTAATAATGTTCTTTTCTTAATGCACTAAATTGCAGCTCTCTTGCTCAACAGACCTATACGTTGATTTTTTTTTTTTTTAATGCATGCTTTTAGATCCAATGTTTCCTAAGCAATGTTAGGATGGAAACACATACTGTAGTAAAGCAGAAGGAAGCAATGCTAACAGAATTTTGTACCATAAACCATGACCAAAAAAATGCTTTGTAATAGCCTGGAGTAGTATATTCTCTCCTGGCTTCAGAGCACTGTTGGTTTAGGTACAGGACTTCAAAAGAAACAGACAGAGAGAAAACCATGACAAAACTCAAAAAAATGCATTCACTTTTGGTCTGTTTCCTTCTGTAGTTCTCTGTTAAGTTCATCGATCCTCTGTTGCAGCTTCTTGCGTCTTTGTTCTGGTGGGAGATGGCTGAAGTCTTCTAGTGCAGGGCCCTGCAAGTAGAAATACTATTAGACAACTAACAGGCACATACCTGGACAGCTGAAGTGACATACCCACACACGGACAGTGTTCACTGGAAGCAGGATGGACCTCCTTAAAAACTCTACTTGACACACAGCTCTATAAAAGACCGCAACAGAAAAAATGCACATTCTTGCTGCCAGATCGTAGTCATTCATTCAGGGTTCTTTCTGCCTTCTGTAACAGCTGGCTCACAGATGTAATTCAAATTTGTAGACTTCACTATTTTTCTGAAAAGCTGAGCCATGTACCTCCTGTTATAGCCACTGCAATTAAAGCAGTTTTAGAAAGGACAGAATTAATTACCACAGAGTAATTTCAGTCAGAACAAAAATCTAAGATGTGTATATAATAATAATAATATGTATATAATTGATTCTTTCTCTGGTGTATGTGTTCTATGGCAATTTGGATGCTATCAAAAGAAAAAAAAAAATAAAAAATCTGTGTTTTGGCTCTTCACTCCAAAGTACTATTATCTGATTCTCTTCCAGAAGTTCAGCAATCTTGCTAGAAAACATGTTAAAACTTAGAAAGTTCTGATGCATTTTTGCCTCAAGTAAAACTAGTTAGTAGAGCACAGAAAAAGCCTTTACAACATCAAAATTTTGACTTAAATTTGTTAATCTGAATCAAAACTTCCTCAAAAATTCCAAGTCACCTTTTTCATTATAAAAGCTACTGTTACAGGGAGGGGAAAAACCTCTTACTTTTCAAATTATTATTATTTTTTAAATCTTAAGACCACCTCTCATTATGAGCCCAAACCTGCAAGGGTTTGATTGCAAACTTCTGCCAAGATTATAACCACACTTGGGTGTAAAAAGCATGGGAAGAGATTTTTTACCTATCTCGTGAGTTTGTTGTGAAAACTCTTCCCTCAAGGTGACAGTCACCAACAGTGTAAAGAAGGAAATATGGTACACATCTTAGTAACAGAAGTTAAGTTACAATACTTGTGTCCTCGTTGCCTAAGAAGGTTGGTTTTAGCACAAGAAACCCACTTGGCCATTACAGTAACCCTCCACGGAAGCAAACCAAACCGGACAGCATTTCTTTTGTCAAGAAGAAACTTGACAAATTGGACTGTCAAAATTTTGACACAAGAGCCTTAGGCTCAGGTGCCAAGTTTCTGATACCCCCTCTTAAGATCTTCTTGCCCCTCAACTTCTTGGTTCTTTTGCACTTGTAAAATCATAATCGCACTGCTTTTTAAGAAGGGAATACAAGGCACTATAAAAGCAGGGAAATCAAGATAGGATGTTTCCAAAATAAAGCAGAAGTGTTTCTATCTGGAGGGGAAAAAAAAATTAAAATCCTTTCAGGTGCTTTTACACAGTACAAAAAACCAAAGAGACAATCACATCCTCTGTATCATTCTTCCTTCCAGGTCAGTTAAAACCAGAGTATCCTACGGCAGTAATCAGAAGAAAAGAGGTCTTTTTGTGACTTTTTACTGGTTTACTCTGCAAAACAACAATATTGATTAAGTTGTGGTTTTCATTTAATATAACAGGTTTCTAATATTCCTAAGCATAAAGGATCATTCCCCTGCCAATTTTTGGATTACATTCAAAGGAGTTAATTTTGCAGTATTCAGTATTTCTCCTTTATACAAGTTTTGTAATCTTTTCATATACCTATTTTATGCTGCTTTAACAATTTTACTGACAAAGAGAAATCTCCAAGTATTTCCATCATGACTAACTCATGAATACTGGTCAACCCTAAAATTCCAAAAATCACAGGTTTAGTTGCAGCCAGATCACAAGTCTAATTATCTCACATTAAGCATGGATGATTAAGACTGTGTATATGAGTGGAAAATCTGACGATGTATTTCAGCACCTGAATTAAAGCAGATATGATATGGAAACACTTTCAGAAGATTACTTTCATGCTATCTTAGCAGAAGTACAGCAGACAGATCAGCACACGGGCTTACCATCTTCACCGACCACTGCACAGTTCATTTGAAAACAGAAAGAAACGGGAAATTATTCACATGCAACGACCAGTTACGAAAATGATTAATGCCTAAAAATGTATCTTTAAATATTACTTAAGGATTAAAATTTTAATTTATAAAAAACACATTCTGCTACGAGCACAAGAAAAGCAATACAATAATCAGAAATGCTCTTCTGCTTTAAGAATTACTGATTTTAATAATTACTAGGTGATAATGGGTAGTGTAACATGGAATTCTAATACACAACTTAATTAAGGTAATTTTGAATTTTAGTGTTTTGAGTAATATACTAAAAGAACTATTGTAGGAAAAGAAACAAACACACAGCCAACATTGCACAAAATAGCAGAATTTGATGATGATGAAGGACTGGTCAGCCATATGCAAGTAATTTGTTAATTATAGCTAACAATCCACTACCATCACTTTTACAAATGTAATTTTTACAATGTATTTACTTTATTCTCACCGTAGAACTACAATAAAAAATTATAGCTTTCTGAAGCTTAGAGGTCAGTAATTTTTCTTTCTGAAAATAACATTTGGGTCATTGCTGCTATCCTAGAAAATGGTTTAGTTGAGATAAAAATATTTAAGGAGCAAAGACTTTATCCTTAGAGGAAGCAAATGAAACATGGGATGCCAGGTGTCACATCTTGGGTTTAACATTCACAGTATTCCATGATTTCAGAGAACCCTCCAGAGAAAGGCCAAGCAACTTAGATGTGTATCTCCAACACCATTTATGACACTAAACAATTGTTAAGGCTGTTGATTGGGGCACACACAAAATTGGAATTTATAGCAATAAGGAAAGCGCCTTCACAAATGATACGTTGGTAGAAACCTCAATAAAGTCCAAAGATGTAAAACGGCTACAGAATAAACTTGTTGTTCCCTTTAGAAAGAGTCTTCCAAGAAAATACAAGTAAGGTTTACATATCATTGTTGACGATGCCTCAAGTGGCATTGAGCAAAGACCTCTCATAAGCACTAACGCTATCTGGAAATGTTCAGGTTTCAAAGGAAAATAAGCAGCATTTAATTGTAGTACTAATAAAACAAGTTACACTTGTTCACACTTAGAATCCAATAACCTATTCTACAGCTACTGTTTGCTGCTTTTGCTATACATCACGATAGGAAAATCTAATGCAGGAACCACAGAATGAGGGCAGTCTGGTTCTGTGATCCCCAACGCCTTGAGTGAAATCTTATACAGGGCACATTAAACAAAACCACCAGTATGCTTAGTGTCTGATATATGCAAACTCAGGGATAAACCTCAGTAGAGCAGGAGCAAATTAAATACCATTTGGTAGTTCTGCATGTCAATACCACTTGGACATCCTTTTCCAGGGACAAAACTGGAAAACAGCATCATGTACTAGCAACTATTAAGCATTGAATCAAGATGTATTATAACAGATAAGATTGATCAATGAGATAAAAAGATCTATTAGAATTACAGTCTACATTTCAGCTGAAAAGGCACTCAATATGTGATAGTGACATCTGTTCAAATGCTTGCAAGGAATTTAAAAATATATAAAAATTAAATGTTCATCCTGAAGATTTAGAGAGATTAACTATTTAATACTCTGGGGTATTTCAGTTAATCCAGATTTGTAGGATACTAGTGATGCTTGCTAAGTGTATAGAATACTATTTATTCTATATTAAATGCATTCAATTTTACAACATGAACAATGAATTATAAGAATAAAAAAATAAAAACATGGTTTCATTTTCCACTAGCACTTGGTAGTTTTTAGGAGATTATATTTTGCTTCAGTAAAACGTTCTAGAACTGCTGATATTACAAGGTGGTGAGTTGTAAACCAGGAGTCAATATATTTAGTGATCAACAAAAAAGAGGTGTTATCAGACCTGCGCCATTTCAACAACTATCTTATCCGGTTAGTTCCTTGCTGAGTATTCCAGAAGGAACATGACCTTCACGACCAGAAGAAATAATGATACAAGTGACTCAGAAGGGGAAAGGAGAAACTGTCCTCCATAAATACATAAAGGACCACAAGAATTTTCTAAAAAATGGTGGTGGTAGAAAGGGTATTTCCAACATATCTGGGGGGCCTGAAATAAGATGCCACAACATGACTTAAAGTAAGTTTTAAGTGTAACTCATTCTGTTTCAAAATTACAGAAAGGGAGCCTATAAATCATAACTTTACAGCAATATAACATTATTGTAATTGATCTCCATATTATGTCACCAGTTGTCAACCATTCTTCATGCACATAAGACAGCAAGTCAATATTGTTTTCAAATATCAGAAAATCATGAATTATATATAATCAAATACATCCAATTCTCTCATTATTTGGATCAATAAATACCATAAAATGTACATAAACTGGGCAGCCTATGCTTCACTGACATAACAGGAAAGTGCCAGTACATTTATCACTAGTACAAATGTTGCTAGGAAACCACTTAACATTTCCCCTTTATTATCTTCCAAACAAATTCTATTTGTAGAATATGCCACTATAAATTAGTAATTGAATTGGTAAGTCTCAGAAGGTGGCATCTGTTAGTAATTTTGCAATAATTTTACCCAAAGAATACCTTGGGCAAACAAGAACAATTTATTAATCAGAAAATGCATTCAAATGGTAATGTTTCAAAAATCAGTATTTCAAAATCTGCAAGCACCCTGTGCTACAGAATTTGATGTATGAAAGAAAATTTCTCCCTTCTTAGTTCAATGTCTCATAGTCAACTACTATTAATTCAATTAAAAGTCAGCAAAGACAACATCTGATCTGTCAGAAGTTTTTTGCAGTGACTGTATACCAAATGATAAATTACTGCAAAAATATGCCACACAATGGTAAGAAAACATTTGTGAATGTGAACAACAATGAAGAAAGGTATCAAACACATGCTGAGCACCCTCTTTATAACACCTTTTAGGCACAAGTATTTGGAATGCAATAAAAAGTATTCTATTTTATTTTATTTTTAACCTGTTGGTAACTTCTGTATAATATGAGACAAAGTATCCTGAGAGTGACCTTACAGCTGAAGTGTTACTTTTAATAAAGTAAGCCTTATAATGAGGGTGAAGAGCATCAGAAAAGCCACATCACAACCACACTGTTCATAGCCCATCATGCATTTCAACTGTTATCAAACTTACCCCTCTTTTGAGGCTTCTGAAAGAAGGAATTCTGGGCTTCCCTGTTTTTATGTCACTCATGCAATAATGCACTGGTTCAATGGAGAATATGGGGTACTGGGACCCATTAGGAGTACTGGATGTGTATAAACTAGTAGGGGTTAGGGGTGGGGATTGTGGCTAATGTGGAAATAAAGAAAGCAATAAATAAGCCAAATGTTCAAAGTGATTTTAAAATGAAAATTCTGTCTTACAAAAATAAAATTTCCATCCAACACAGAAACAGCTTGTAACTTTCCAGACACATTTACACTATAACGGTTTTTGGTTTTAAAAGGTTCCTGTCATGAATTAATCTTCAGTTACAAGTTGGTGCAGAGAATGAAGGAATATTAAAAAAAAAAAAAAAAGCAGCTTTAGACTCAACACTTCCACAGGTTCCCAAAAAGATCCCCAAGTTGTCTGCCTCTTTTCTTAAAACAGGAAGTTTTGCTTTTCCCAACTTTAGTTCCAGCAATTCTGGAAGCTTGGGCATTCCTGCTCACAGATTCTTCCTACGTTTTGATGTACCCTACCAGGTAAGCTAAAATAGAAATATTAGGTACATCTACAGAGAATGACTAAATCAAAAAGTCTACTCAATCTCTGTAGTCAAGTGGACCTGACACATCAACTGCATAGCATCTTCATCAATATCACCATGAGAACTTTCTCCACTTCTTTCAAATCGCTTCTCTCACTTTTCATATGCTTCGCATACCTCTGCTATTTTTTCCCAGTTTGATTTTTCTGTACCATTTCCTCTGTTGCAAAACTCACTCCCTTTCCAAAAGACTTGTATGCCTTTCACATCAAAAACAGGTGTATGCATATCTGGAAGTCAAGACCAGCCAACAGTTCAGCTAAATGAAGGCCCAAAGGCAACTGTGAATACCCCATCTATAATAAATCAGCATATTTTTATATAAGCTAATTTAAGAATATATATTAAAGCATGTAAATAGTATTTAGAATTAAATAGTATGCTCCCAGCTGCTGTTTTGTAGACTGCCCCTCCATCCTCCCCAGAAACAGGTGAAAAAAAAGGGACATAATTTTCCATTTCCTCCAAGGTCCTTAAGGAAGAGATGCATGCAAGTATGTATACACATACGTGTATCTGCGATCCCACACAGGACACAGTAAGGCTGACTCTCTGAATGCTACACACAGAGAATGAACTGGGGAGAAGAAAGAGTAGAGGAAGTCCTGTCAGCTTTCTTTAGTCATCATCATGCTAATGAATTTCTGAGAACTACAGTAAATGCCAACATTCAGACTGAAAACCAATGCAGATTTTCAGAGCTTCCCTTTCCAAAATTCTAAGAAAGATGTCCTGTCAAACTGGTAATCAAGATCTAGTTTCAGAACAGGCTGAATCTCACCCACCTCTGCAGCCAAATGCAATAAATATGCTAATGGATTAATGATTAAAACTATCACCAATCATTAATTATACTGCATGAAAAGTAAACAATCAGTTTTCATTTTAATCCACAGCTGCAATTATGTAATATACTGAGGAGGGAATCAGCTATATCCTTACTTTCTGGAAAGATCTCCTTTCTTGGAATACTATCAGGTGGAAAATAAATCCTACCACTAACAAGCTCTAAGAATAGTTTCCTGTAATAAATGGCAGAAACTGACTTGAAACATTAAATAAACTCACAGAAATTTGCAGGAATCATTAAAATGACTCACTGATATGCACCAGTACTAAATAAAGATCTAGCATAAAATTTAAATATGTATACACTTCATTATTCATATATATAGCTGATACATGTATTGATAACCTTTTTTGTTGATCCATGAAGGCATCTTGCACAGAAAGCGTTAAGTGAAACTCACATAATAATACAAGAAAGGAGTAAATTCTCTGCTTTCAATTTTTTCTTGAACAGAGGAATATATTTTTACCTATTTCATAGTAATATTTCTTCTGTGACATTTACCTGTATGGAGCTTTAACAGCATGTTTTTTATCAATGAGATATTATAAACTTTAATGTTTTCAGACAAACCTCAGAAGTTTTCAAAACTAGGAGCAGGTAGGAAAAAAAAAAAAAAAAAAAAAAAAATCTATAAAACACTCCTATACATACACATCTACAAAATGTGACATTTAGAAGGAGGTTGCTTTTTGTAAAATAAAAGAGATCTGAAGTCTGCCCCATTCCAAAGCATACTTCCCCGTCCCCTTATTTTTACATTCATAAGTAACACCTTTTCTATGCAATTGCACAAAATCTTTACAGAAACTTAGAAAAGTTACAGAAATGGGAGACTACTTTTATCAAATAACTATGAAAGACATGCCCAGACACAAATCACTGGAAGAAAAATTGGAAAACTTCCGATTTCTAATAAGAGAAGTATCCAACCCTACTCAAACCTTCAGATCTCCTTACACATATTTCTTAAGACAGTGGCAGGCAAGGGGAAGGTTATTTTAACATAAATAAATTGCTGCTTTCATGCACTCTAGATCTTCACATTTTAATTTTCCAAATAGTAATTTCTTAATTGTTACCTTTGGCTTCTTTCCAAATAGCCACAGCTTTCCTTTAGCCTTGCCCACTGTAGTTTTTGAATCAATTCTCATTCCTTCCTGCTTTGGTGTACTGATGGTTCCATCAGAGATAGTTCTGTAAATATTCTGACTGTAATCTTCAAATGGAAAATCTCCAGGAGGTTCAAAACCAGATTTGAAGCAGTCTATCACTAGTTGAGAGTCCTAAACATAGGACATTAAGGAGTTTAAAAAGCAAAACAAGCAAACCCATCAAGAACCAAAGAGAGAAAAACACAGTGACAAATTTTCCTTTTATTTGCAGAAATGGACAGATGGGAAATTGAGAGCAAGCTCAAAATGCATGCTTTTGCATAGATCACATTAAGATAACATATGTATTTTTTTTCTCAGCAGTGTTACCATGAGTATTGATCAAAGCATACCCTGCTATTCACAACCCAGCAAACGCTCCCCAAGCGTTATCACAAATTTAAAACAGTACATATTTTATGGCCAAACTACTACTCCACCTTCTAATCCTTCAACATCAGCACTGAAATAAAGATAACACTAAGAAACTACATACGGTATAACAGGGAAGAACACGTATTAGAAGGAATGAGAAAAAAGTGCCAATAGCTGCAAACAAACAGGACACAGAATGGTACCTGGTTAACCAAACACCCTTTATGTCATTTAAAACTACATACTGGAGAAAATACCAATCACGTTGGTATTCTAGGGTGTTTCAGGATAACCAAAACAATGTGTCCAAAATCCCATACACTGAGAAAGTGTCAAAGACCTTCAGATCACAAGTAAGCTATAAACCAGGTAGAGAACAGACACTGACAGTGGAAGTGATCATTTAGGCTAAAACTGAAGTCAACAACACTTATCAAGCAGACAAATATTTAACAACAGAAATACAAATGTCCATCTTTTCCCATCTCCACAACTTCCATATCAGTTAAATTGCTCATGCACATTCAAAAAGTCACTCAATTCTACTTACTCTATGTTCATCAACTGATTTTGCTGCAAGGATCATCCCTTCTAAACATTTAGAGATAATCGGAATAACCTTGCGCTCAGAGTCAGCAAAGCCTTTGTAACATTCACTAAGTTTGATAGTCCTTCTTTCATCCATTTCTTGAAGTTGCTGCAAGCACAAAGTAAGATAAAATAAAGCTTTTAATCGCAGATATCTTTCACCCTATCCTGATGTATGCAGTTACTGTGGCCACCAGTGTCGTACAGAATTTCTGTGCTTTCCCCGTAATTTTATTTGCTTAACAAAACGGAACTTACTTAAATTAAAAAATCAAGTCCTTTCAGACACAGACTTAAGATGCCCAGAACATTAATTATGAAGAGGTGATACTATTCGATTTTTTAAAATTATGTGAAGGCAGAACTTTCTTTTCCTTATTCTTTTAAGAACATGTACAGTGGCTACAGCCACCTATTTAGCTTGAAATATTTGTTTCATGCAAAACTCAAAACAGTAAAGAAATTCTACTAAGTTCTACATCTCCTCACTCTCCTCCTAGTTCCAAATAATTTATCTGTAGTGATAAATATTTCTATCTTGCTTTTATTTTTATACTTTCCAATAAATATCAGTGATTTTAAAGAGTAGGAAAAATTAGAAATAATAAAATTATATGCTGTTTAGACATGCTCTCTGATTTGATATACAAACCATTTCCTTTAGAAGTGAGCAAGAAAATAAAGAAAAGAATACCATTACATAGAAGTCTACTGGAACACAACAAAAAGAACAAATTAAAGAGAAATACTATTAAGTTAACAGCCTTTCGCTAATTGTAGATGGAAAAAAAAAAACACAAAAGAAAACAAAAAGCAATAGTACATACATCAATAAGTTATCAAAAAGCGGATAAGAAGTTGGATCTTTCCTATATCTACCCTAACAAAGGCAGATGTCTCAAACAGCATCCAATTTCATCTCTCCCAAACAAAGCATCAACTTAGCAATGCTACATACCTCTCCCAAGGTAACCCCATAGAATGTTACCAAACACTTGCAAGGAAATAATATAAAGTTAATCCAAAAGCAAGTAGGACTAGTCCTTTCTGCTCTTACAGATTTCAAAAACCAGAAGTAATATCTTACAACTATGATTAATTTTAATCCTAGAGAAATAAAGGCAATAAACCAAAACTCTGATCCAAGCTACAAAGCTGATTGAACTGTTTCTCCTGGGAGTTGACTGCAGTTCCTCCATCAGTGTGCTAATGTCAGACCTACTGCAGTTAGAATATTAGAAAATTCTTTAATAAGCCAAGGTAATTTTCTTCTGTGAATCCTAGACCTTCCAATATGTATTTTTAAAAAATATGAACTCCCTTGTGCTTCTGAAAAATATCAAGCATTCTTAAAGTTGGTATACTTTCAAATAAAGTCTGTTTTCACTTTCCATTTCCTCACTCCACGTCTCAGAATCAGTTTGTACAGTCACAGTATTCTCCCAAATGGCTGAATATATGTGTCAATACACTTCTGAACCCTCCCTCACCTGATGCCCCACAACTATTTTACTTTAAACTAGTTTTGCAAAGTCTGTTTTTAAAAAAAATCTTAAATCAACCCACAATTTAACAGTTTTGTGAAGCACCTTGAGAAATCCCCTTTTCAGATGCAGAGTATTGATCTAATTTGACCTTTAACTTTTTTATTATTTTAGAGAGTTCTGTGGATTGCTAGTAATACTGATGAAGCAATAACCAGTTCAGGGTTGGGGGAGTGCTTCTGTCTCCAATCCACCCACATTTTATACCTGTACATGAAATATGTTAAGCTACATAGCCACCATTAACTATAATGCTTTCCTCCATCTCTGCCAGAGTCAAAGCATTCACACACACAAATGTCAAGAGAACTAGAAATCAAAACTTATTAGAATGATTGTTTTAAATATTTCTTCTTCACCCATGTCTCAAATGTTCATTTTGCCCTATCTCTTCAACAATATTTAAGTAGTCTATAAAATATAAAATCTTCACAGAAAATGCAATGAAATATTTTCATTACAAGTCTAAGCATAATTACTGTCTCATGATAAAACACAGCTTGTATCAAGATTATGCTAATTTCTTGGTAAAATTATCCACTTCCCAAAGTTTTAAATTTTAAAATCTACTTCTCCCTTAGAAGATCAGACATACTTTCTCTGTGAATTAATTTACCTTATAAATCTGAGGAATGACAATGTAGTAGTGTTTGTGCTGTTCCCCATTAAAATTCTGTAGTTGTGCAGCATATTCATTTTTGTTTTCATCAGCCATATGTGTGCGCAGGTTTAACTGTTGCTTAGCCTAGTAGGAAAGTGTTATCAGATCAAACATGTCTTGTGCTTTTCAATGACATACAGGATTATTTTAATTCATTTTACCAACTATGCAAAAACACTAATCACAAATCATCAAAACTGATATCCTTATAATTGAAATAAAAAGAACGTGAGACTTCATGTATACTACAGCCCTAACTGGTTATATACAAAGAGAGCAACGATGACTTCGCCTCCCTTAGCCACATCACTAAATGCATATCCTAAAAAAACATAGAAGTGACTGAACATATACACCACAAGGTACCAAAACCAGTGAGCATGCCTGTTTAAGGAAGATAGTCATCATATCACAGCATCATCCCCAGACTAATGCAGCATACACCCTTCTCTGTACCGTCTTGTATTTTACTATTTTACTCTAACTTCAATTTTGTACATAAGCAAGCATATTTTATACATGATTTCATACACTCAAATAATGTTGTTCTAGTACTGATGATAAACATGCAAGAATTTTTTGTAATAAAGTAAAGAAATGGTACCACTCTTACCTTCTCAACATCTGCCTTTGTTGCATTAGTGTCGTTGTCCAGTCTTTCGTAGCTTTGCTGTGCCTTCTCCGCCTCTCTGCATTCTCTCTCAAATTTCTTTTTGCTCTACAAAAGCCACAAACTTACTGCTTCAACAGCCACTATCCCCTTTTGGTTTTGTACAGTAATTTTGAATTCTAAATATCAAAGCTTGCATTTAAATATCTTAAATTCACTAAGTACCTGTAAATAAATACACTGTTCTCACAGCAGTGAAGTCTCAAAAATTTTAAACTTTTCTATTTAAAACATACTTCCTTGAAGTACCAGCAAGGAAACAACTGTAATTATAGTATTAAAATATCAGATAATCAAAATACAAAATAACCTACTGCGAAGATTCACAGTTAATGATAAACAGACACGCTCTCTTTCTAGCCAGATTTCAATAACCCAAATAAAAGTTAAGGGGTAGAAGACAAACCTGGACTTGTAGGAGTAAACTGTGAAGTTCCCTTCTTTGGTGATCAATTTTAATTGAATAAATTCAAGTAAATTATTTTAAAGTTATCCTGAGGATTTTTTGGTTTTGTTGGTTTTTTTTTAATAATTGCATTAATAATACAATCTACATTACAAGATTGCAGCACATCCATCCAGTATCATCAGTATTCATAACAACTGGCATAGCCATAAGCAGCACAGACAACAGTATTCAATGTACTTGAGGTTCAATATATATGGCTGTTGTCAAGACAACTGCTGTAGGAAAAACTGTTGCAGCTCAAGAAGTGACTATCTCTAGAGACAAACTGGCAACAGAGACTCTGTGAGCACTGCTCTCCTGCTCCAATGCAAAAGTCAGGCCACTGAGGTTAATGTGTCCCTTAAAAGCTGTATGCATTTAAAAGATTGACTTTGCACTCAAGTAAATACAGTGCATTTACTTGATTGTTTGAGGTGAACTCCGGAAATTATCTTGGTGAAGGGTGACAGCATCTAAAACTACCACATCTGCTTCTACTCTGAATCTCTGACCATGAATTAAACTCATTTTGACATGACACTGAAGGAAGACATTGCTGATCCGGGTCCACAATAAAATAGAAATTCACCTCTCTGGTATTCTTCACAACAATCTGGATCAAAGATATAATAAATTTCTAAGACACAAAACCAACAGAGTATCAGAATACATCTTGTCACACTTGGCTGAATTTTATGTTTTCTCATCTTCAAAAGCATGTGTCTCAAGAAAAATTAGTTTATAATCTGTTCTAGTGACATTAACTTCCTACATTTCTGTTAAAAAAGAAATTCTACCACCTGAAAATATAAGAGTCTATAGTAGTATTCTTGAATAGATGTTATGTGCTGAGCCCTCAAACTCAAGTCACAGAGTGACTTAAGATTTAATCTTCATATAAATAAATTTTCATTGTTAATTAGTCTCTAAACAAAAATTAGCCCACAGAGAAGCAACCAAAGATGTCTGTACCCATGTTAAAAACAGATTCCTTTGCACTGGATAAAAGCCAAGGCTTCACTCAAACATACACACAGAAGCTGTTTAAAGGAGATTTTTTTTAAACAGGGAACTACAAATACATTGAACTGAATTTCGGATGTTACAAACTCTGATTTGGACATTCAGTAATAAAGCCAAATATTAAAGTCTAAGCCAGACAGATGACAACTGTTTCATTTATAGACTGTATTATTAAGTTTGACAGAAAAAAACACCCCTAAACACAAACTCACATTATCCATCTGTTTCCAGCACATGTCCAGATACTGTTGAGCCTTTCGCCCTTCCTGAAGATGCTAAAAACACCACAAATAAGTTTAATTCACGTATCTTTTTAGTACTACTACTATTAGTTAGTTCCTGCTCTAGTTGACACCCTATGATGTGCAGTATCTCCCACAAGTTACCAGTACTCTTTGGAAGACATTACTAATCATGTAAAATCAGTACCACAGATGAAAATTACACTGATCAAAAAGCTACTACCAAGCACTGTCTTCCAAGATAATAATTTTTAGGTTTAATAACTAGTAAAACAGTACATAAAAAACCAGAATAACTTTAAGTATGTGCTTTATAAATGTATTAAAAACCCATTTTACTGCCAAGTTCAATGAACTGGGTAAACAAATGCATCATGTTGTTAAAAAAAACATATCCATTTCGATATCCTATTATCAAATCAAAATACAGAAATTACCATTTTTCTCTCAGTTTTTAGATCATGAGAGTATCTCATCAATTCTCCATACACTCTGTGTCCCATTTCTTCTGCAACTACTTCTCGTTGTCCTGCGTAGTCATTCAACTCATTAAGGATGTTAAAAAAGGCAATACATGAAGTAAACCTGACAGAAAGCACACACACAAAGACATAGATAAACAAAAAGTGAGACAGTTTTTTTTTAAATGGACTTCTTTTAGTAAGTCTGTACTCCTGGTTAAATAAAAAAAAAATCATACTTATATTACAATAAACCTTATCTTAATGCTAATTGGAGTAGAAATGCAAATTGGGAAAGCCTACATTTAGCCTAGCATGTACTATATGTTGCAATGTCTCTTCAAATACATTTTATAAGAATATGGATTTTTGTGGATAGAAAAGAAAGAAGAAAAATACTACCTGGAAAGCCCTGTAGTATAGTGGTATGTCCTAAGCTGCCAACTGAGAGGCCTGAGCTTGGGAACGGATACATACGTCCCTAGGCTCGGAGGCTGAACTTGCTGCAGAGATGATGTGCTTGGTAGTCTCGAGGGTGGAACATGCCAATCATACCACTCATATGCATCCCGATGGATGATCTACAGAACAAGTTTGCTATCAGCTCTGGAGACAGCTGCCTGTTTGCCTGCCCACCTCTTGGCTGGAAGTAAGGTGCCACTATGGCTGGCACTAAAAAGGGGGGAAGAGGAGGGGCAAAGGGTAGAAAGTGTGTGTGGAAGGGAAGAAAGAAAAAAAAAAAACAGGCACCACATTAAAATTTACATCTTTCTCTCTTAAATGTGGAATACTGCCATCTCCATAGGCTTGGCTCTGGGGAATTCAGATGCTACCCTAGCACTAGAAATCCCATTCCCTGTGGTCCAGGATCTTCAAACAGTCAAAAGAGCTAGAGAAAATCCTAGTGTGAATTCTCAGGCACTCTGTGCACAGCATGTGCTCTGGCTGCAACCTGAAATCTCCCCACTTTCTTTCTTTGTAAGAATTATCCCGAAAGACAAAAAAAAAAAAAAAAAAAAAAAAAAAGTATTGTGTTTTTCTAAATAAATTTTAAAATGGCTATGGCTACGGACAGCAAAACAAGAACCTCTTATAAGTAATCACAAAGTTGTTTAGCACAAATTGTGCCTCCACAGTTAGACAGTCACTATTTTATCTCTGGAGTCGAAGCAAGTCCGCAGTTTAGGAGCTCTTCTTGCCAAAAACATGACAATTTTGTGTACACTCAAGACAAACTTTCAGCTAGCTAAAGATTAATTTGGAACAGAGCAAGTACAACCTGTCATGTTTACTACTTTAAAATACAAATAGAAGTAAAGTCAGGTTTCATGCTTAAGAATTACAGCAGAACTGTAAGAAGCCAAGCACAATTCTTTTGTTGTCTTAGCTGATTAAATACTTTATCTTAAAAAAAGAAAAAAAAAAATCTGTGAAGGGACAGAGTATACTGTAGTCCTCATTTCTTATACATAGAATTCAAAATGCACATTTTTACCTGGGTTCCTCATCTTTGGGTGAACGTTTAGGACAGTACTTCTTAACCAGATTTCTATTAAGGAAGAATGAAAAAAAGATGCTATTTTAGAGTCTCTTTTGAGAAGACATAAACATAGAAAACTGCAAAAGCAAACTATTTCTTTTTAATGACTACAAGGAAGAGACCTACTCACTCTGTCATCTTACAAAGGTCCTTTAGATAATATGAGGCAGGTATCTATGACATTTTCAAAGTTTTAAGTCACTTTGACCTGGAACAATATAAAGTTTTTTAAAACCCCTATTGCGCAGTGACTAGACATAAAATAATGAGTCCTTAATTTAACATCCTTTTCACACAAGCAAAACAAGCTATCAGACAAGAAAAAAGCAAATGTGTGATCCATATAGACAGCACACACTCTGTGCTATACCCATGAGCACAAAGCTCCATGTCTGAATTAAGCTTTGAGTGCACATTCAGGTCAAAGGTTTTAACCACAGTTATCACCAAATCTTCAGTAAGGGTATTTCCAGAAGAGAAGAGGTAATCTCTTTTCAGGAAATATGTTACAATTTACCCTACCACCTGTGTTGTAAGCATCAGGTCTTTAGACACCAAGAAAAATCTCTAAAAGAATCCATGGAACCAGCACTTTATACAGTATCACAGTCCAATTTCTGAGAATGGTGGTATGAATTCATTTGCTTATAATACAAGACAGAAATAGCATCTTAAGAAACATACATACCATATCACCTACTCTACCCTAGAGCATAAATAACACAGGCATGCGCTACTTACACAAATAACTGCAAAATATTTTCATTTACGTATATTGCCACAAATATCACAAATCCCGTGATGAACATGAAGTCACACAATTTTACAGACAGGAAGAGTAAGACAAGAAAATGTTCACTCATTTTTTCAATTCTTATCTTCCTGTACATCAACCCTTGCTTTAAACTTCTGAGTACACAACTTTTCCAGCACAGCATTCTGCCTTGACTTACAATACTGTTTTTCTGATAGCAATGAGGTTTATTAAAATTCTTGAAATTCAAAAAGATACATTTTTAAAAAAATATCCATTATTTCCTTCTCATTTGCATTTATTGGATGTTCATACCTTTAATTGGTGGCATTTTTTATTCTAGCAATTTTCTAAATTGTTGTGTTTTTCCACGAAACAGAAAATTTGGAATGATAACTCTACTGCAGTTCTTTTCCTTTCCCTGTGAGAGTATATAATTTTAAAGCAAATGAACAATCCTTTTTTGTACAAAACAGGTAAGACACAGGATTTTCCTCAAATTACTGACTCTCAACCTTTGTGCTTTTTGAGGTCAAAGCAGCAAAATATCTCAGTTGCTATTTTTAAAAGCAGCAAACAGTATTTAAAGAGATATCTACTATTCAAATTAAATAGACCAGTATTAAAATACCAATGTCCATCCTCACAAAAATTCTCTTGTTTTCCAAACATTAGAACCACTTCATCAAAATCTTGCTAGTAATGTTCAAACTGTGGACCAGATTGCCTGTTAATGACATCTCTCATTTAAACTATCAGAATAACATTTTTAAGTGTGAATTAATATCTCAGCAGAAAATAAAGCATGTCAATTATTTGCTTTACAACAAACAGAAGCAACACAATGCTGGCAATTTTTTTTCCTGCACATTTCTAAATAATCATACCTTTCATTTAAGAATTAAAAAAAAAAACCCAAAAAACAACAAAACAAGTGCACACAACCAAATAATTTTGTTCACGAGACAGAGTGTTTGCCTTGAGCTTGCAAAGGAAGACTTCTTGAGGTGGACCTGGATTATGCAAAGAATGCTTCTGGTTTTTAACTGGTATAAAATAGACTTCATTTAAACTTCTGTATTGTGTAAAGGGATGATAATTTGTAGTGAAACTGTTTTACCATTCCTGGTCAAAACCAAGACACCATTCACCCAAAGAATTAAATTAAATATAAAACAAGGCAAATGTAGCAGAGCTGCTTTAATAGTTGTCCTTTAATTGGCCAGCGGATAGAATTCTTCCATCTGTCTGTTCAGTAGTAATTGAGACAACTGGCTGTTGATTTATTAAACTAATTATTAATATAGCCTAAAACAGTTTCCCAAAAAGCAGCAAAGCAGTGAACTATAGAAAGCAATTTACACCTACAATGCTACAGGAAAAAAAAAAGAGGAGTAAGAGAAAATTCAACGGAACAAAATCTTATTTCAAAAGGATACAATCCTGTAGCTAAGCAACCACCCAGGAGCCTCTTCAAGGAAAGATTTTCAGAGGTGTTAAAAATGAGAAAAAACACTCACTAAAATACATACTGTTTAAAGCAGCAGGAGAGAAGGGCCACAAATACAAATTATTTTCTAGCGTGCTGATTTCTGTTTAGGTTTAATTTTTTAATGCAACTGTTTACTATTTCTAGGAAGACAAAAATAATATATAATCCTTTCTCCTAATAAAAGCAAGTTTCATTAGTCCATCTTGGCTACCTTAGGATCACAAGAACATGCAGTCTTGAGACACTGTGATCGGGATTTAAGGTTCAATAACAGCATAAGGTACAATAACCAAAGTAAATAAATATGAAACTACAAGCATATGCAGAATTTGAAGTTCTAAGAAAAAGCCAATGTTCATGTGAACAATGAAGCATAAATGGCTTTCCCAAGAAGTGAACACCAACACTTCAAAAAAAGATAGATTTAAAGTTTTGAAAAAATGCAGGTTGACAAGCAGCTGAGTGTGGATCTGAAGAGTGAAACATTATTTCAAAGAACCAGTTGACATTTTAAAGAGTCATAATATTCTTTAACATTTTTATCTAAATGTGTCTCTAATTCTCAGGATCCAAATATGGATCTGGACTAGTTTAGAAGAAAACTGCAGTAGTAACTGCAGACCATCAGAACTGAACCAAATCTATGAGATAAGTTGGCTCTGTACTTCCTTAGAAAAGTACAGATTGATGACACTTCAATCCTCTCTGGAAGTACAATTTAGACAACTTCTACCATGTACGGTCTTACAGACACCTAAAGCAGATTTCATACAGGACTAACCACATCCAGTTGTGCTGCTCCTGTTATTTTATCCATCTCTGGTTTCTCAGTATAAACTGGTCTCAGGTCAACACCAGTGAGAAAGCAGTCTGGACAATATTACCAGTTTTTAAGAGAAGTAGTACCTCAGTCATGTAGCCAGAAGTTTCAAAAAGCACCCTAGATAATAAATTAAAATTATTTATGTAGATGTTTTATGTACATAACTATAAAATTCTATAGACATTTGTACAAAAATTGTGTTTATCAACTCAAAACTACATATTCTACAGTCAAGCAGACTGTAGACTACAGTCTACGGAGTGTAGACTTGACTACAGTCAAGTAATACTGAATGTAAAGAACGGGAGCAGCAGCCATCAATACAGTAGAATTCATATTAAGGCAGCAGCTCATGTACTGGAGCACCTGCTTATACTAAACCTCTACGCCTCTACATCATACTACAAACGAGCCTGGGAACAAACTTTGAAGTCTACTTTCATAAGGTACTAAAAAGATGCAGTAAGTACTTCAAAGCTTTTCATATTTATAAGTAATAGTTTCAACAGGGTTCTGATGGCTTCAGTGACTGCATATCAATATTACAGACTGAGTGAGAACAATGACAATAAACTGTATTTAGTAACATGTCATCAGAAAAAAGTTTTAACTGAAGAGATGAAGCTTAAAAAATTGTCACACGGAATTTGAGTTTACATAGCTAAATGTCCTTGGAACCATCAAGAATTTGTATGTTTTAGCTTGGAGATACATCACTATTAAAAAAAACTTGCCACATCCATATTTGAATAATCAACAGTGTAAATTCTCAGCTCCAATCAAAGGAAGAGAGATTTAAGAAATGAACACATATGGTCATAACTTGTGTCCCAAACTTCACATCTGAGCTTACACCCATTTTAATTAACATTTCCAGGATTCTGCATATAAAAACGCAGTAACTACGTCTCAATTTGACTAGACATAGGCATATATTCATATGGTATTTAGAAAAAAACCACACATACACAGTAGTATGCAGAAGGAACATGAAAAATACATTTGCCCAGATTAACTAGACATCTCCAGAGCTCACACCATACATTTTTTTAAGGGAAACACTCAAGTAGTTCAGGAACAGCCATCACTATTTTCTTTAAACTGATAATAAAGAAACCAACCAAATTCAGAAATCTAGAAATCTTATCCCATATGGTATTTTCATCTATAACTGCAAGTATAACTTGTATTACTGCCTAACATCACAGGAAATAGAATTCATCTGTCTTCTCAAGTGTTACAATGCTTCAGACAGAACAAAAAGGGAGTGAACCTCCAGAATTATTTTGTGTCCAATGATGTGGAAGCAAACAAAACAGACTTTAACCTTGCCCCTTTTAAGCAACAGTACTGATCAAAAACAACATCTGAAAATTCAATTACAAAATTCAGACAAGAGCCCAGTAACTTGACACATACTAACTATATTTTTTCCAATTATAAAATATGAACAAATTAAACAGTCACATAATTAAAATGAAATGCATTAATCTACAATGTATATTGAACTATGTTTGTCCTGACTCACATCCCTGTAACTCAGTAACAGCCTGTAACAACCTTCACAGTCCTTGGGGTACCACAATATATTAGTCAAGACCTAAGCTACACAAAACTTTACATTTTCCTTTAAGCTAGCTAAAAAAAAAAAAAAAAAAAAAAAAAAATTCATAGTTGCCTTTTTTCGGAACAAAGTATATCGCAGACAAAGAAAAGACAGGCTCTCTAGACCATTTTCTCCATAGACATTCGAGGATTCCTCAATGGTTTCTATTTTTCTTAGATTTTTCCTCAGTATCAAGAACTGCCTATCAAATAAGAATAACAAGGAATGACTTACAACCTAAAACCAGCATTAGTTACACAGTTCTCACTTCTGGAATTACTCAGCGACCATAAACTGCAATAACTACATACAGTAAGAATATAGTGAGGTCACACAAGCAATTCCTCATATGCTGTACATGCATCACTGGTCATCTCCTAGAAGACTTAGAACAGTTGTTGCACCTGGGAAAGTCTTACCACTAATTGTGACAGTATAAAAAAAAAAAAAAAAAAATCATCAAAATGCAAGGGTATACAAAAAGTGAGTATGAATTTCTGCCAGGACACAGACTCTCATTTGTGAAAACTTATGAAAAATTCACTCAAGTTTTCATCCTTGGGTTTAAGTCTATGAGAGTAAGATCCATCAACAACCAACAGAATGTTCATGGCCCACACAGAAACCAAGACAGAAAAAAAACCCCAAATACCACAGTACATCACTAACATTATCTCCTTCAGTAAAGTTGTTTTTGTCTCCCATCCAAGTACTAAAGAGAGCCACAGAACTACCAAAACGTGACCACTCACCGTACTGTTTATACATCTACTAAACAAGGGCATAATAAAAGGCATTATGAAGAGATTCTTGAAACTCTATTTTTCAGATTGTATTTCATTATAGAAGGAAATTGATGATAAACCAGAAATTTCTATCAGAGATATTACTATCTCACAGGCCATATGCTGCCAGCATTAAAATTCACCAGAACCATAGTCCACCCCAAGATATTTCTCTCTCAGAACTTCTCAGGCGCAAGCTGAAAGACAGTTAACTATTCTGGAGGTGAACATGTTGCTTGACCTCAACCTAGCCTGGGGCCTCACGACTGGTTTATATTTATTAAAAACAGTGAGTGTCCTCAAAAACAATGATGGCTGAAATCAAGTTGTTATCGCAAGACAGTTTACTAAGATTAAATTCTCCTCCAAGGAATACACAGGCAAGAATATCAAAGAGTAGCTTCATGAACCGGTCTACTGGCAGAAAATCAGTCACTCTCTTGTGTGTGTGCTGTCCAGACCCTCACTGGCAGCAGGCAGGAAGTGCATGCATGCACTGCACAACACATGTGCTGCAAGACGTGTGCTTCCCAAACTGTCATACTTACTGCACACGGACAGTCAGTCCAGTCATCTGACAGAAGGGGTACTTGACTTAACTTTCATTTTTGAAAGACACTTTGAGAAAAAAAATCAGTAGTTTTACCCAAAAGAGTAAAATGTTGAACAGAGAAGATTTCCTATTTTCAGTCAAATCTTGAAGTAGTAACGTGGTGTCTCACCTTGCTAGCTGTGGAATAAACCTTTAAATATAATTTCTTCATACTATTTAAGGTAAAGATCTGGATAGGTCCATGCTAATAAAACACATTTCCATTTTTAAACAGAAAACTAAAAACAAATCAAAACTTGGCTATGAACTAGTGCTGTGCATGCTTCAAACTTTCCTTTACCTCTATGTTCTTCTATGCCAGCTTTGGAAAAGTGGTATTTATTTCCTTCCTTTTAAGAAAAAAATTCCTTCAGTAATGTAATAGGATATTACGTTAGGTGAATATACATGACTGGATCAAAAGAAACTGATAAATCAAAGAGGAAATGAGCAGCCTAGACAGAGAACATCCACACCCTCAGCTGTAACCTCATGACTGCATTTATGAGGAAGGATTCCTCAACTCTGTATCTGGTGACACTCTAGTTTGCCAGTGATGAGACAATGGAAGACACCAGAGAGAAGCTGCTATCAGTTTCAGTCTGACAAGGGCTAGGCAGCAGCTTCAGCTGAATCCCCAGAGGAATTCAAGACTGCAAAGACTGTGGTGAAGGCCAAGTTCGCAGGACTGTCTTATTTTAAATCTTGTTCTTCAAGCACTGTGTGCACCTTTTGGTAAAAATCAATCCTACTTTATTCTGAAGAATGTGCTTCTCTGCGATTTCATTGCTGCTGCTCTTCTTGTATGATCCCCATGGGGACACATCTATTGGACCTAAAAGAAGTTTCACTTGGCACCAAAGGAAAGTAAACTGGAGAGGTAAGACAAAGGGTGGTTGGGTTACAGTCTCACCCAAAGGGGTAAGACCAGCTACAGAAAGGGCGTGCTTTATGGACATGAAGATCTGCTGCTTTCTTAAGTTCTACTCAATTATTTCAATCAGATTTCTTAACACAATGTAGTGTGGCTCTTGCCAGTTTAACAGGAGAAATTAATTAGTAGCAAAGGCTTGAAGCTGGATGACTATACACACAAAAATGTAGATATGGATAATGCACTTTGCGACAAACACACTGATACGGGGAAAATATTGCGATGGTTTTGTTTTGGTTGGAATCTTAAAATTTAAATCTTAAACCTTTTTAGTTCAAAGATTTGAAGGGTGGGTGGTAAGAGAGGGAGGGAGGAAAGCAAAAACAAGCAAGTAAGCTCAGACCTGAAGATAATTTTCTAGTTTGGACCGGTAAATAAGAACTTGTCTGTTATGGAAAGAACTAGTGATCTAACTCACTCTGTAAATGAAAAATGGTCATTAATCACATTACATACTTGCCCACCATATACAGTGATTGAGTAACTGTTAAGACTCTTTTAAAAAGAAAAAATCCTTACCTCAGTTGTTTTGCATAGTTTTGCTCAATTTCTATCCTTTCTTTTACAAATTTTGCATATTTCTCCAAGAAGTCAATGCCCCACTGCGTATGCTTGTCCAAGTTATCAAACTGATCCTTTAAAAACAAAAGGAAACAAAAATATGCAGAATTAGTTAAGAATCACAGCAGCACCAAAACCAACAATGTAAGTTATATATGATTATTTCTGTAAGGGAATGCTTGCTACTTGAGTAGAAGTTATTCAAGCTCTAATTCAGTCACGTGTGTATATAACAGCTATATACCAGAATAGTAAGCTGTAAGTGCAGGCACAGATCTACCTCTTTTTGTAAAAACAGCTCTAAAGATTTGCATTTTAAGTTGTATGCAGTCTTTGATCACTTTCACAATGCAAATGTGTCTTTTTTTCCCCCCTAAAGATCCCTTAATTCAAAAGTGGATCTTTTCCACCAAGATAACAAAAACATAACCAAAGATCAGTGTTAGGTAAGTAAGACCATTCCACAGAAGAGATGTGTTTGGCAGTTTTAAAGCACAAAAAGTTGTAATTTCATTGGATACAAAAAATTACTTCCACTCTTACAACTACCCACTGAAAGAAAAAGAATTATAGCTGCATGACTAAGTTGGGTGTAGTATGAATATGAAAAACATTTATTAAAGCAAATCTATACACACAGTTCACAATCAGCTCTAGCAGAGATTCCAAAGAAAGCAAACCTGTCCTTAGCCATTAAGAAAGTTATAGCAAAGGCACAAAGAAGAGAAACAGTAAAAAATAAACCATGCTTCCAAAAACAATTGGGAGATTTTAAATACATCAGATCAACTTCAAAACTAATCCTTCAATGTATTCTGTACTGATCAACAGGTGGAGGATACACTGGTTAGGAGTTCAAAAAACAAGTAGGAATATGGGGTTCAGAGTTAAACAGGAATGAATAAAGGTAAAAAATACAGCCTAGCAAATATTTTTAGTCTAGCACATACTTGAAATTTTGCTAAAAATCTGCCACAGTGTAAAAATCAAGGATTTTCAGCTTATGGCAGCATTTACAGTGAATTTTTCTTAACAGTTACTTAGTAATCTAGAAAGACAAGCAACTGCAACATCAAAGTTTGTGTCCTGTATATTCTGAATTCAAATACACTTCACAGTAAATTAAAAAAAAAAACAAAAACAAAAAAACCCCAAACATTTAAAGGCAAAGTTTATTTAACTTACAGAAAAAATGGTGAGGGGTGTTTACCAGAAGCTGTGTCTTGCAGATTCAATAACTTGCCTGAACCTAATGAATTATGTCAACCTTTAGTAGTAGCAATTTAAGTTAAATTTCAACATGCACTAGGATGATCATAATTTAAATTTTAAAATGCCATAAAATGCTGCAGGGCTTAGCACTCAAGGAAATGGCATTCACTAAAGACATACCAAGACAACACAGCTATATACAACCAACAAAAATGACAAAAAAAGAACATAAAGGGATTAAGATTGCTCTCAGATCTTGCCTTGTGGGCTCAGTATCCTACACCATGGCCATTAGTGCCTTGAACACTTCAATCCAATGGCATACAAATACTGCCAAGGAAAACCCATCCTGTTCCACTATCAGCCGTGTGCTCCTGCCTCTCCATTACTCCCTCCACCAAAACCACAACCGCTTTCCCTGACCATCTGTTTCACCAGGGAACCATAAAAACAGCCAAGAGACAGGATGGACTAAAGACAACAGTTCAATGTATTTGGGAAACCATGGCCTTTATCTGATATTGTTCTGATGTGCTCACTTTACACCAACTGGACATTTCCATACTAAATAACTTTTGTCAAATAAAGCCATATTCCTGCTGTTGTTTTTAGAAAAGTTGCATCTGAATTGTTTGTGCATGGAAAGGAGATGGTTACCACACTATAGTGTCAAACTATGGATGCATATATGCATAAAATGCATCCTCAATCTCAAGAAGCCTTTCTTTTCTGTATTCCACTCATTTTTGTAATTGACAACATTAACCTGGCATCCAAAAGAAGTTTTCAAAACGTGCTTTTGGCATGAAGCCAACATCCAATACCATTAAGAACTGACTTCCTTCAGCGCATACCAGAACAAAGCCTCTGCTGTCCTACTTAGGCTCTTTAGTCCACAAAGCTCTCATTTGCTGCTAAGGTTTCATTAGCATTACGGAACACCGCATCACTTATGTTTCTGAACATGTAACCAGAGAGGACAGCTTTCCAAATATTTTGTTCAGACAAAAAAAGGACTCTATTGGTCAAAATTAATTCTCTGCTACTAATATGAAACTGGAATGGGAAAAAGTGAGTACATTACATGCTATTCTCCCCTCACACTTTGTTGAAGTATTTAATCACTGACCAAGTGCCAAAAACTCCTCCTTTCCTCAACTTCTCTTCATTTGATTCTAGAAACCATATGCTCTGTGCAAAGACAGCTTTGTAGGATTATCCCATAGCTCCTCAAGAAAAGAAAGAATTTGTTCCCTCCCTATACAAGGAACATGCATAGAACATACACAGAATCACATGAATGGAATAAATCCCATGAAACAGAAAAATTAAAACCCATTAGCTATCCTCATCACCCTGTGGACCTTTACATTAGTACAGCTCCTCCACCATTATTGACATCTATGAAACTACTCACGGTTACGTTAATGACCTCCTAGATAAGAAAGAGCAATCTTAATTTAGTGGGCCATTGGTCCACATTTACTGGAATTAGAAAAAAAAAAGTAGTAGTATATTCCCACTTTGAAGAGTGAGACAGCTTCACATCAGTTTGTTCACTGCCATTTTTTGGTCAGCAACTATATAATGCACTATTATAGAATGAAACATACAAAAAATACTTTAAGTAGTACATAAGCATTTTTTGAAAACTGGCTTATGAATGATTAAAGTATGTATGTCTTAAAAAAAGTAATCTACAGATGATTTGTAGTTTTGAATTAAAATTTAAAAAAACTATAATAAACTCACATAAACATGGATTCCTTGGATTAAATTGGATATACTGATGATGTCTCTTATTCTCTATAGTCATGTATGTACTGTAAAACAGAGCTCTCCATTAACAGATAAAGAAAATATATTAAGAAAACATATCAGCTTCACAATATTTCAAATTCTCTATAAACATAATGAAAGTCCGCAGTCATAACGATCACTTTACACAGCTCAATAACAATACTGAGATAAATGAGTAAAAGATAAAGTCAACATTGATGAATATGCAGAAAAGAATGGTCTTTTCAGAAAGGCTTTTAGTCGTGAGTCACAAATTTACTCCTGGTCCTTTCAGCTTCTTAAGCAAAAAGTTCCCTTTTCATATCCAGGAACGCAAGCAGAAAAACTTCCACACTGCTACAAAGGAAATCAAATTAATGCACTGAGATACAAGCCAAGCCAAGTGATATCCTAAAAGGGGGGGAGGGAGCACAAAAAAACAGGCGATATTGTACAGGGGAGAAAATGGACCAAATAATTGCAATGAAATTTAAGCCTAGAATTTTGAAATAAATATATGACTGTATTAATTTGGCTGGCTCCTTTAAAAGAAATGTGAAAACTGCATTAAAGATCAGCAAAAGACAATTTAAAAAAAAAAAAAAAAGCAAGCACATCCTATAATATCTGGCTATCTGCTACCTTGATAGCAAGGTATGTTCTCAACATCCCAAGGCAAATATATATTGCTGTTTGTCTAGTAACTCCCCACACCCCTTAGCAGTTGAGCAGGCAATTTTTGTAAAAAAAACTTCATTAAAACTGCAGCTGACTACTATTAAAATGCTTAGTATCAGCTAATGGATGGTAGCCTTAAGTAGAAACTGCCCACTCAAAAGCTGGAATGTAGTCCAAAGTCTCTACATTATAAACAAACAAATCTGACACTTCACTAGAAGTTTGTAATAGGTCAATATAGACTATTCCAAAGTAAATGCTAACTCCCTAAATTCTACTTCCAGATTATTTACAGGCACCACAGATCAATATTACAAACACTTCGGGTATACAGTTCTAAACTTATCAGGTTTTGCAGATACCAGGAAGCTTTTCAGTAATAGCAGCCAAAGCATCAAAGCAAGGAGTCAAGCTGAATGAAATCTGCACCAAAGACAAAACAACCCTTCCTGAGTTAAACACAAGATTTGCTCTCCCCCTCTTTGAGACACCTGCTTTTTCTCCAAACAAGCCTCAAGAACCAATAAAAAGAAAAACATAGAGGATCTCTTCAGAGGGATGAGCACGGAAGGAATGCTACAGCATGAATATCAACCCCTTTGTTTTCCTAAAGCTATTAATGCCTAGTCCAGACACTGTTTCATATGGGAGTTTCACATAAAAGGCATTAAACCAGATTGAGATTATTAAAGGATTAATTTCCCATCTTTCATCAACTTTAAAAAGCATTTCTACTTGCACTGAAAGCTAGGACTGTGGTATCAAATTCTGCAAAAATTTTCAATTTTCCTAAATGATTCCTTCACAATAAACTGTATTAACGCTGTATTGCTGGTTAGCCTTCAATTCACTGACCTCCATTTTGATGATCAGACAACAGTTGAAAGCCTTAAGAATCACATTAAACCTAAAACTACATAAAATCACAAGGTTAAGCAACCTATCTCAACTACTGTAATTAAATCTGCAATATCTTTAAAATATATTTAATAAAACATTTTATTTGAAATCATGACACCGCATTAATTATGCTACCATCATTTTAATCTCTTTTGACTCAATTGTACATTATTACTTCCATACTTTTATCTCACCACAATTTTAGTCTGTAGTTACCAAAGAGACCTTATTTGCAATTTTGAAGCACTGGCACAAGATTAGTTTATTTACCCAATTCTTCGTTCTCCACGCTTCATAGCTTCGCCAGTCTAAAGTTCCAATTCACTGAGTGGGAGATTAAAAACTCAATCCCATATTTTGCTCTCTAAATTCTTAACATTTATGCAGTCCAGTATAAGGAAATACATACTATGCTCTAATTTGATTCCACAAAGAAAACATTCAGTGCACAGAAAAGCAGAAATCAGGTCTTGTTCAGGGAAAAAAAAACCACAAAATACTTGGAATCAGAAAAGCCCCAGCGCATTTGTGGACAGAAATGCTTGATTTTATTATCACTTTAGGAAAAGCAACAAATTACTTAACCACATAACTGCAAGTCCACAGTAATCCAACTGAGAAAATGTGCGTGATTATATAACTCAACATTGATCACAGCAGTTCTTGTTTACTCAATTAAAGCCCATGAGAGCTTCTCAAATGTACCTGAATTATGGATAAATTTAAATGATAGGGTAAATTCTGCATAATGTCCTTTCTTCCTGCATCAGCAGTACTGCAGAAGACAAAAAGGCCCAACTCTTCAAGAAGTTAAATATTTTAAGTTACAAAACATTATAAAATGACTACTTCACATATTAAGATTTTATCAAACTCGTCTCCTGGAATATCTGAGGTATTTCTATGAAACATTATGCAGCTTGCTTTTTTCTTTTTCCCTTTTTAAAATAAAGATCAAGGCCTTGAATTAAGTTCAAACAATTCAACATTTTACATGAATTAGATGACTCCAGGTAAATTCAGTTGTTTTTAAAAAAACTTCCAGTGTTTGTGCAAAGAACTTCTTGATGTGCTACGTTAAAAATTATGGAAACCATATTCAGACTTAAATATATTAATGAGAAGTTATCATTACAGTGTATACTTTTCCCTACTTGTTTTTAGGACAAATTAGATAATAAAATTGTATTTTAGTTAGACTACATTACACTACTCTGACAATACATTTCAGTTTTTCTGATCTCTGAAACCTCTTCATCAGTGTCTAACTGTTTTTGTTTTTTCCTTTGTCTCTATCTTCATGCATTCCTGCTTAATTTTCTATTCTAGGGTAGTATCTCTTCCATTTTACCGTCTGAGCTGGTTATCACTTCTCTCCCTGCCTGCCTGCTTGCTTTTATAATTGTCAACTCGGTCTTCTGCTCTGTCTTTTCTCCTTGCAACTGCAACATGCTTCTTCCTAACAGGCAGACAAGAACAGCTTCCATCTAAACAGTAGGGTGGGTTTTTTTTAAACATCCTGTTAGTTTTACATCTAAAAACTAACAAAGAGCTGTTTATCAAGAACAAAATAGAAAGTGTCTTGCTTTTCTGCTTTCTACAAGTTCTGGATTGCAGCTTCCAGACTAACCTGCAAATTATACCTCATTCCTCTCTGAAAACAATTTATGTATTAAAGTTAAGAGAGTGGAAAAAAATGTGGCTGTGAGCAAACTTAAAGGCTAATCATTTTATAGACTAAAAGATTAACATCAATGAGAAGGTTCAGAGCAGCAACATCAAAAGCCATAGCTACACTCAAAATAAAGCAGAGGCACTCAAGAGATTAAGATGAAAAAACCAAAGTTGCAGATGCATATACATAAAATTAGCAGTACTTCACTTATAATTTCATTAAAACAAAAGTTCAGTATAGACTGTACAGTCAGGAATAATATGACAAAAATCTACTAGTCTTTTGGAGATATGCAAAGGAACACATTTCTAAAAAACTTCTGAAAACAATTAGTAGGCAACCTTTAGGACATGAAGCTATTTTGATTGTAAAAATTATAGACTCTGGTGTTAATTTAAGTGAGAAACTCTGCTAGAAATGCAGACTTGAAGAGTTTAATATGCAAAAGGAAACAATGGGAATTAAAAAATTACTTTTAGCTGGATGAAAGACTACTTAGCTCTAAGGAATAAAGAATTAATAAATTCATAGCATGAACACAGTATGAAAAATCCACTTGCCTGTTAAACATATATATTCTTAAAAAGCAATACCACTGTCAACTTTAATTTTAAAAAGCCAGTTTCCATGATTAGAGAAATATTTGCATGATTAAGTGAGTAAACAACTCAGAAGTAGTACTGAACAGTTAGAAATCTAGCCATGCTTTAAGGTAACACATACATCAAGTCAGATTTCTAAAAGTGAAGCTAAAAATGGGGAGCCACAATTGAGTAAGAGGAATAAATACAAAGTCTATGCTTTTCTCTTTCAAGATCTCCTCAGACCAGCAGCAAGGGAATGGCTTTGGAAACTTTCGATGGAAAGTCAGGTCTGGCAGGAGAGGATGTCTTGCTTGGCAGCTAACAACTCCACAGGTGTGACAGACACATTTATTTTCCAGGAAGGGGCAGGAATCTACCACAGACAGAACAGGAGTAGAAACATTTGTGACTGCTTTTGGAATAAGCAGCCAGAACTGCAACAGAATCAAGTTGTACATCTGGAGGTCAGCAGATCAGCTGAAAGACATTAGAAGTACAGTTGTGCACTCCAGTTCATCCATGCCACTAAATGTATCAGCTGGACTAACAATTAGATTTTAACAGCGCAAGTAATTACCAGCAGAGCAAACTGATTGAAACAGTTGACAGCTGGGACACTAAACACCAAAGTTAAGAGAGGAAAGGAACACATTGCCACAGAGGGCAACTCAACAACTGCTCCGATTTGTCCAGCTTATGAACCACCTCCAGAATTCTTCAGTTAACGGATGGGCACATTCATATGAACTACAACAGTGTACTTACGTCACTGTATCAGGATGCAAACCTAGTAAAGAAAAATTATATTCTCCACAAGTTCACCTATGGGTCTGCTTTCTGTTTCTCTCGGGGAACTTCCCACTCTGTCTTCCCACTGCAGGCTCACTGCCTGCCTCACTCCACAGTGAAGGCAGTTTCCTAAATGCCTAAATTCCTCCTCAGGAAGTTCTACCAACATAGTGTGTAGGAGCCAGAAGATGGTTATAGGCATCCTTCCTCTCTGCTACCCATCACAGCCTCTTCACATTGTGCTTGGCAAGGAATAGGGCTGTTTGCTGTGGGTACGTATCAGCTTTAATTCAACATCTTTCCCTACCAGTTAGCAAAGAGGTAAGGTACTCTTTCCCAAGCAAACAGAATGGACTTCCTTACCACCACCACTTGAGAAAAATATAAACACACACACACACATATATATATATATATATATATATATATATATAAAAAGCAGGTATCATTAACCATACACACCTGCTTGTAGAATACAAGCATACATAAAATACGTACTATGAAGTCCTACTGTGAAAACCAGATCAGAATCCACCCAGTTTTCAGATAGCCCCTTAATCTCATTAAACTTTTAACTGGGAGGAAATTTGTTTTTAAAAAACACAGATTTTTTTTTTCACATATGTCTTTTATAGATATCTTTAAATTACTGAGTCTTATCTGCATTTGAAACAAAGCTTAACTGTAAAATTAAACTGTAATTCTCCAATTAGTTCTACTTTAAGCTTAATTCCCACATTAACACACAACAGACCATTTTCAGATAACTATGCCGAAGACAATAGCAGATCACAAATCATATAAATATGTTCTCAAGCATTACTTTAAAATTATTTTTAAAGTTGCTACTTTAACATGGGGACAGCACCACACCTGCCTTGTATATAGAAATGACATAATTATGTCAATTCCCCTAAACATCAAGTCTTAATTTCACTATAGCCAAGCCAGAAAAGCAGGCACTTCATGAGCCTTCTGGGAATGGTTGGATGCTGTTAATATACAGACAAAAGCATAAGTAGATTTTAGTCCTAGTTACATCACTTGCAAAAGGAGGCAGGAAGACTTTAACCATGAATGAAGCAAGTGTGATATGATGCATCACAGTAAAAAAAATATTATTATACAACGCTTAGAGAAGCTGTTGCTCATTTTAAGAAATACCTGGAAAAATTCCCTTCTTTACAGCAACACTGGAATAACACAGAGTTTAAAGCAGTGGAGGTTAGACATCATAAGCAGCAGAATTCACTGTATGACCAATAGCCATGCGAAAACTCATGTGAAGCAGTTCTGTACAAAACCAGCACATTTACTGCATGAGTAATGTTAGCCTGCAGAAAACCTGCAAGAACAAAATATCTGTCCTGGAAAACAATGCTGCAAGATTTTTATTTTTGAAAAAAATGTGTATCTAATTTCATTCTTCAGTTAAAAAGATTATTACAGGGTTTGATACTCAACATACAAGGTGAAAATTTTACTGCATGACTAAACAATCCATTGGTTAAACTACCACAAACTTTAAAAACTTTTAAATGCCTCTCTACAAATAATAGATTATTCCACAATCTTATTAAAAATGCATCCACAAGAGACTGAATGATCAAGGAGTCCCAACACTCTCCAGTTCTTGTGCATGTGACAATCTATTTTCATGTTCTAAAGGATCTTTTTTCTAAAAATTTGTAGAAACAGGAGAGAGATCTTACCTACTGCCAGCTTCTTCATAGAAGGGTTAAATTCCTGCTCTGGGCAGTCTGGCATAGTATCTAACAAGCAGAGTAAGCACTACTGCTTTTTTCTTCTCCATTCACTAGGGGAGTGAATTTAGCATGCTCAAGAAAAGAAGGGAGTGGTATCAATGTTAGAAAGCAAAATGGTTGCCTGAGGGTAGGAGGTTATTACCCGGAGGTATAATGACAAGGAGAGAGGTACAGAGGACACAATAAGGGAATGCTGAAGGTTTTGCAAATGGAGTATTATTACAGATCATCTAGATAGCCTACATGGCAAATTCAGAAGAAAACAAGTTCCACCATCGTTGCTGCTCATTTTTGTTGCAATAAACCTGCATCCGCTGCTTTGCAGGATACAGCCACTGCTTATCAAGTTACATTTCTATCCCTTACACATACATGTACAAGCTGTATTACAGCATGTTCAGTTGCACTACCATGAAACAGAGCTTACACTGCACTATTGAGTTTAACTGAACTGAAACAGTAAAATAATTATTAGTTTGCAT